CTGCAAGAGCTCATAACTGAAACCACTCTAAATATCAGTAATGATCAGCTTTTCTTCCCAAACAACAGCCCATTATTCAACAAGCCACATAGATAAGTAGACTTGTGACAAATTTTGGTACAACCAGGTTCTCCTTATCTTTTTGGACAACTTCACAGAACCTAATGTATCTATGAAAATGGATAACAACAGGATCTCATGAAGTGGACTCTAGCCTAAGAAAGCTGATACCATAATCAGTTTTGCAGGATACTCAGGTTCCATAGATTTACTTCATAGATCCATTGTTTACTTTTCCTGCATGACAGGAGAACCAACCCGCCTGAAAAATTATTAAACATCTGTCACCTTTTCTCACTAATTTGGGTAAGAACAAACAAAATGTGATACTTATTAATTTCTTAAGCTGAAGTAAATATTTATATTAATTTGGTATCACAATTCAGTCCAAAACTACAGGTTATTCAATACATTCCATAATCCCTTTCAGATCTGGTTCCTAGTTTATCATATGAATTGTACAATATATGCAAGATATGTATATTTTCTGACCCTGGATGAAATTGATAAACATTTCAAGGTCCCGGATCTGGGTTTTCAACTGATCCACCAGCTGTTCCTTTACACGTGCTGGGTTGATGATTTGTGCCACAGCAGCATCCACCTGTTGACGCAACTCTTCTGGGGACAGCAAGGCAATGTCCTCACTCAAGTTCATGTCCAATTTCTTGATTAGCTCCTCAATAATCACCTGTGAAGCATAGCAGGAATAAATCAGGAGTTGATCTCACTCCTTGCTAAGGATTCTCTTCCCAAAATGTTTAAAAATCAAATTGCTCAGTTAAAAGTGTCCCTTTAGAGACAAAAGAAAATTATGTCTGACTATATACTAATGAGTCTTACCTGCTGTCTCTCCATGACCATAGACTGAGGTAACGCATCATAGCTACCCTCCTGGTAGGCAAATGTTTCCAAGTCATCTAATTGTGCCTTAAGCTGCAGAATTAGTTCTCGTTGCTTCTCCTTTCTAGCTTCCAGCTGTTCTTGCTTCTCATATTCATTCTGAAATGAAGAAAAAAGGGTTGTATTGTACCTCTGTGTAAATTGGGAGTACAGTAATTGTAGGAGGAGAACTGTGTTAGTCAATTGGAGCAAAAAGATTAAGAAGAATGTAATAGGACCTTTTCTGATTATTATTATTTTTTATTAAAGGGCATTAGCTTTCAGGGCCCGCTGTTCAATTAATCAAATTCAGAGTGGCTATACAGCTTATAAAATGAATTGCAACTTCCAAAAGCTTATGCTTTTTCATATAATCATTAATCAGAAATGATGCTATCAGACTCCTATGGACTTCAAGAGTAAAATTAGAATAAAGTTCTTAAAGAACCATGTGTGTCCAGACCTAATGGCTATCTCTTGTTGCATAAAACAGTCAACTTTGAATTGAAATTGCAACAGCCTTTTGGAGCAACTTTCTCCAGCTCTAACTTTTATCCACAATCCATTAGTCTCAAGAGAATCCATAATAATTACATCACTGGCAGGGAAAAGATACCCTACAGTTACGACCTGGAAACTCTCCTTGCAGCCACTTTATATGCCTTTCTAATTCAACAGCCTATAAAAAGTATAAAGAGATGAAGAATACAGCAGACACTCGTTAGGTAAGCAAAGTCATTTATAGATTTTTTTTTTACAGAAGTAGTCCTCAACTTATGACTACAATTGAGATTTGAATCTCAGTTGTTGAGTAAAGTCATTAAGTGAGATAGTTATGCGACTGCTTCATTCAATGACCAAGATTCTGGCAGTCCCTTTTGCTGTTGTTAAGTGATCTGCAAAATTGTTAAGCAGATGGAGCAAAAGAACTGCCGGCAGATGGATTTCAACCCCACTCCCCATTTGCAGAAAAGAATGCCTCTACAGGGCTACAGAAATGGAGATTTGATCTCCGCCATCTATGTTCCATTTTTGCAATCCAGCAGAGTAGTTCTACAATACTCAGCAGGTAGCAAAGATGAGAGAGAGAGAGAGAGAGTCCTTTTGATGGGCAATCTTTCCTGCTGTTTCCTCATTGACTTTCTATGGAAGCCAGCAAAGATTTCAAATGGTGATCACTTGGTAAGTGTGAAGAAATTGCCAAGTGTCCAAATGTGCATATGTAAGGGGGGGGAGGACGACGACAATGTAAAGTTTTACAATGTTTTGCAGATCATAAAACACTCTTTATGAGGCTATCATAACTTGACAGTTATTAAACAACTGGTCGTAAGTCAATGATTACCTGCAAAAAATTTTTTAAAGATATGGTACAAGAACCTCAGAAGATTTTCTAGATCTTGGAGAAATTTCAGGCACACATTTTATGATATGATTTGAGTCATGCTACTTGGTGACCTGCTTCAAATCACAACCTATGATCCAAATTCCAGGCTCAATTGTTTTCATTAATGAGGATACTTGTATTCACTGCTGTGGCCTCATAGCACCTAGACAAAATTTACAATATTTTGGATAACACAATATATCAGAAAAAAATAATATTATTAATATTATTATTTTATTATTAGTTAACAATATTTTGGTATCTACTGTTAGTGACTGCCAAAGACAATACATCAAATTTAATTAGAGCAATTGCTCTGTGATAACAGTAATTTGTTAGGGATTAGCAGAAATTAGTTGGCATGGTACTGAAGACTCCAAAATTTATGCTGCCTTGGTTATATAAATACTAATTATATATTTCTGCTCCTCCATTATACTTCAATCAAATGCCATATAATAAAAATGTTTGAAAATTTTGTAATTCAAAAATTTCCCCACAATCTATATTACCAAACTTACTTATTTACTAATTACAAAGTTATAAAAACAAACTGGACTAATACATCTTCCAATACTAATTTTGAAAAGACTTCTGAGAAGAGAAAGTCTTATAAGTTTGTTGGACAATACATTTTATTAATTCGCTCTGGTTGAAAAAATATTTTCAATGATTAATATTAGTGTTAGAAATTTAGAAGTGGAAAACTCGAAGTGTGGCTTTATAATAATTTAAAATTTTTCAACTATATTGGAACACATCCATCAGGAAAAGCAGAATGAGCCCAAATTTTAAATCCTATCTTTTGACAACCAGTTGATTATAGGAACATCATACAGTAATAACAATCTCTTCCTCCCAAACAGTTGATTTCAACAGTTTAATGAAACAGATTGTTCCTGAAAGACTAGAGCAGTTGCATCCTTCACTACTGTAATGTTTCCCTTAATATGGGACCCGAAATCTACTTCGTGGTTTTAAATACCAGCATCAAAACTTTTAAGTAACTGGTTTATTCTCCACCGGTGGGTAAATTTCCCATCGGACAGAGCCAAGCTCCATGGAATCTTTGTAGCAGCTTAAAATTCAACTATCTCAGATGGCTCCGGATTCATATCTATCGTATAAAAAAGTAAATCAGATTTATTAGACAACGAGGTTACCTAATGCATCTTTGAAAGATCACAGCGGAGGAGGGCTGCAAAAGCGACCTCCAGCCCCTGCTCACCTTAGCGTCACTGGCCACTCCGTCCACCGCCGCAGCGGCAAAGCCGAGGCCGGAGCCGGGGCAGCCGCGGAAAGCGAATTCCTCCAGCTCACGGAGGAGACGCTGCTGCTGCCCTGGCCCGGCACGAGCCACTTGCCGGAGTCGGAACTGGACCTGTGCGAAGTGCGAAGCCAAAGCCAGGAGCGCCGAGTGAAGGCGGTGGCGTTCCGCCCTAAGTGCCCGCGGGGACCCTGGTTCGGCTTCGATTTCCTCCCCGACTTCTTCCTCTCCAGCTTGGACTTCGGCTACCGCGCCCACCGGCGCCCAGCGCTCCCCGGGATTCGCCGCAGTCTCCATTGCCGCCGCTTCGAGGACCCGCTGCTATCTACTACTCTGAAATGTCAACGGGGGACCGGGCCGGCAAAATGAAACGTCACTTCCGGTTTTATGAGAAGCGACTGAGAAAATCGTCATGCGGAAGTAGATGTTGCCTTCGGTTCCTTAACGCCCACAAGAGCGTACAAGTAGCGTCATGGCTGCGTTCGTATGATGTGCGTTCCATGATTGACTGGAGGGGACGGGGCTATTTAAATCAGTTTTTGGGATTAGAAGTATAAATTAACCAAGAGATTTGAGTTCGCACAACACATTTGATTTAAAAAAAGCTGATTTGTGAGTCTCCTCTAAACCAAAACATTGTAGCGACTACAATACCTACTTAAAATAGATATATGGCAACTATAATATATTCTGGAATATATATACCGGTCAATTGCCTAAAATAAACTTCAGCGACTTCGTTTGAAACCTGAACGCCGGGTAGAAGCGAAAAGAGCATAGCTATGTTAGTAAAAAGGATACATATTTCAGCTGAGATTAACTTAAATTTTATTAACTACATAATGTATAATACTGATTATTTCGAAGGACGGGAATGTATTTACATACGAATTAAAGTTAAACATGTTGCAATTATATAAGGTTTAGAATTCAGACATACTTGTAGAACAATCACGCTTACTTGGAAATTTCTTTTTTCAAAGAGGCTTTCTCCAAGCATAGTTAAAAATGTTAGAAGTTGCAACTTAGTGTATTTCTATAATGAAATTAATTGATTTACTGAGCAGAAATCCTGAATGTAATCCCTTTAAGCAAACTTGCCTTATCTTGAAAACAAATTTACATTGATCCTCAAAAGTTTCTGCGAAAATATGAAAAATAACTATTCTTAAAATTATTTAAACTGGCATACCCAAGAAAGTTTTTGTTTCAACTGAACTATAAGCATCAAAGCGACTAGAGTATCTACTTAAAATAGATACATGGCATCTATGATATATTCTGGAATGTATCAGGACATTTCTGGAAATGAGTGTTGGGCAGCAACTACTGGGGAGGGGGGAGCCTCTGAATTTAGCTCCGCCTGGCCCAAGGGGATCAAATAAGACTGTCTTGCCTAAAAGGGCAAGAAAGCTAGGGGGGGCCACAGGGGGGGAGCGACGACACAGAACACAATAAACGGCAGCCATCATGGCAAGGTGAGTGCTGGTGGTTTGGCGACAGCTCTTTGTTAGGACTTGTTCTGTCTTTCTCTTCCAGCTGATCTGATTCAATGATCTAACTTCTGGGATCCCCTCAAAATAGAATAAAAATCTATGGTCTTGCCTGGGCAGGAAGCTACTTCCTCAGATCTTTAATATTCACTGTATTAAAATGTGGTATTTGTAGCTGTAAACATTTAATTGATTTGAATTTTTCAATTATATTACATTATGTGATCCTCCTAGTGTCCTTTTCCAAACTGAGCAGACAGTTATTTTACTGAATAACTAGTAACTCTCTCTGTTCAATGATCAATTCAGTCTAACATTCTTGTTATTATATGTGGATTGATATGTGGATTAGGTCCGAGTAATTTATTTGGGGGTTTGAGGAAATTTGCTAATTTTAGTTGATTAACTTATTTTCAGTTTGACTGTCAATTATCTAATGAAGATAGACCATTGTAAATTAAAAATGATTTGTGTTGTAACTAATTTGGGTGGTATACTAATCATTTTAAAGCATTCTTTTAACAGCCAATCTATGTCCTGTTGATGATGGGAGTGAAAGCCACTTTAAAATTAAGCCATTTTGAACCTTAATCAAAGATTTGATGACATTCACTCAGTCTATGCCTAGCAAGAGAACCTTTTTCACAGAATATTTGGTCCTGGTGGGACTAGTTCCACAATTAATCGAGCTAAACAGATCAAGAGCTACCAGGTGGTTCTGTTCTAAATAAAGCAGCTTTATAATGATATTTACATATGTGTGTTTTATGAATAATAAAATTCTTGCAAGACCAACTGAGAATAAAAAATGAAACATACAGTACCTTATAATAATTTAAAATGGGACTTTCTGTATTATAATTTGCCAGTTTGATGTAGTAGTTACAGTGATGGCTTAGAAACTAGGAGACTAGGATTTCTAGGTCTGCTTTAGGCATAAAAGTTACCTAGCTAACTTTGGGTCAACCACTCTTTCTCAACCCTGGCCACTTCAGGTTATTGTTGTGTGGAAAATAAAAGGCAGGAATGCAGATAGTCCTTGACTTACAACAATTCACTTAGTGACCATTCAAAGTTACAACTGCACTGAAAAAAATAACATGATCATTTTTCACACTTATGACCATTGCAGTACCCTATGGTCACATGATCTGCATTCAGATCGGGGTGAAATTCAGCAGGTTCTGACAGGTTCTGGAGAACCGGTAGCAGAAATTTTGAGTAGTTTAAAGAACCAGCAAATATCATCTCTGGCTGGCCCTAGAGTGGAGTGGGAATGGAGATTTTGCAGATTCTTTTCCCCAAGAGTGGGGAGGGAATGGGGATTTTGCAGTATCTTCTCTTGCCACACCGACCAAGCCACAACCACAGAACCAGTATTTGAATTTCATCACTAATTCAGATGCTTGTCAACTGACTCACATTTATGAATGTCCCGGGATCATGGAATCACTTTTGCAGCCAAGAACAATCAGGAAGCCAGATTCACTTAAAAATTAGGTTGCTAATTTAAGAACTGCAATGATTCACTTAACAAATGTGGCTAATAAAATGGGGCAAAACTGACTTAACAAATTTCTCATTTAGCAACATAAATTTTGGGCTCAATTGTGGTCATAGGTTGAGGACTACCTGTATTAAGTATGTTCACTGCCTTGAGATATATATTAAAAATGAAATAATATTAAAATATAGATAGTGGACATGACAGTACCTGGAGATAGGAGAATAGATGAGAACTGGAGAAAATAACAAAATAGAGGACCAATAATAGAAGTTGAGTGACTATGGCAAAAGAAAGCAAAGATAGTATCAATAATATTAGGTGGCTTGGGTGCAAATCCAAAACAACAAGAGTGTCATTTGAACACTATTGGCATTGACAAAAGTACCATCAATCAACTGAAAAAGGCAGTTCACTTGGAACAATTTACATCCTGTGACAATACCTTTAATACCATCAAATAATATCTGCCTGCTCCCGATTGTTGGAAAGGATCTATCTGAATAAAAAATGCCAGATACAGTCTAAATATCTGTGCAGCCAACCATAATATGGAATAGCTTGATGTTCCTTTTTTTTTTTTTTTTTTGAGATGAAATTCACACTTTTACCACCCCAGTGTTCATTCTTCTTTTATTTCCTTAAGACAACCAGCCAAAACTTTATGGTATGACCGTCCACGCTACGTTTTTCTGGAATTCTGTGTGGAAGACAGCAGGGATGTAAAAGTGGACCTTGATGATTACAAGGTAATATTCAGGTAAGAAAACATTGTCTTCTATTTTAGGAGGAAAAAACCCCTATAAATGTTGGGTTTAATAAGCAAATACAAATGGCTAGCTTTTCTTTTCCATTGAACACTGTGGAATTCATTTCTACAAATGTCAAAAAAGACATTGGATTGTGCGACTATATAAGTTTGTCAATTTTCTGATTCTCATTCACACATGATCAGTAATTAGTCTAATTCTTCACACAACTGCTTTCTTCTCTAAAAATGAAAAGTATACCTTCAGAAGGTGGATTAGTAATGTTTAAATAATATGCAGGTAGTCTTTGACATATAATCACAATTGAGACCAGAAATTCCCAATACAATTGTTAAGAAGATTGTGCCTGATTTTGCAATCTTTATTGTCTATTGTTAAGTGAATCAATGGTCATTAAGCAAATCTGGCTGCCTCCACTGACTTTCCTTGTCACCAGCTGGAAAGGTCATAAATAGTGATCACATGATCTGGAATGCTACAATTGTCATTAACACATGCCAAGGGGCCAAATAAATGCCAATTTTGATCATCAATCCTGGGAATGCCATGTTAATTGTAAATGTGTGGAATGGATCTAAATCTCTTTTTCAATGCTGTTGTAACTTTGAATGGTCACTACATGAAGGGTTATAAATTGAGGACTACCTGTATTAGCTAGCTTACTAAGCCAGTTATCTTCAGTAGCATTTGTGAAAAGAGATAATTTCAAATAAGTATTTACTGTGTGTCTTTCTGCAGCTGTAAGAATGCTGATGGCGTTGAAATATACAACGAGATTCACTTTTATGCCCGAGTAAATTCCAAGGTAAGTAGCTGAATGGACAGGACCTTTTAAAATAAAAGAATACATCTATTTTTCTTTGATATTGTTAGCCCTCAACTTACAATCATAATTGGGACTGAAATTTATACTGTAAGTTGGTGTGGTCATAAAGCAGGATGTCATGTGACCGCACATATTTATGACAGCAATCCCAATTCTCTCCACTATGGTCATAAATTGAGAATTACAGATTATTGAGTACCACAATCTAAGCTATTATGAACTGGTATCTCCCAGCCTGAGCCTCAATAAGTAAGAGCCTGCCACTAACACTCCCACTTGCCTCTCTATCCACCTTATCTCTGTCCTTTTGACCGCTCTGTTCATGGGAATTGTAAGTGGGTAGGTTTCAAATTTTCTCAGTTGACTGAAAGGTGTTTTTTTTTTTTTAAGTACAGTGGTATAATACCATAGGTGTGATGATTTTAATGTTATTCTTCTTTGTTTTATGGTGTAGATTCAACTGTTAAATGATGCATTAAATAGAATGAATCTATCCTTGAGATTATACCATTGCATATCTCAACTATTTCTCCTTGACATTCTTCTTCTTTCAAGATGTTTGGTTCTTCATTGATTGGCTGTCATCATGTCATTTTGATGGTAAAGTCAAGTTGCTATAGAATCCTTCCATATATTCTTTCTATCTGTTTTGATCTTCTGTTGGTCACTTACTGTATTCCCATTGCAGTCTTTAACAGTTCCTTGCTATGCTGAAAATCTGGATTGCATCATTTTCAGTACAGCAATCTTAGTATGTTCCTTCCTATTAGCTTCTTCCAGATGTTGACACTGCTCTTCCTACTGCTTATTTTTGTCTTTCCTGGCTTTACATTGGAAAATTGTATTCAGTTTTTTAACTTCAACCTTATTACCTTTGGCTTTGCCTGTTTGTTCTCTTTGGTTTCTCACATGACACATACTTCCAAGCAATTTCCATGATGTTATCTCAGATTTCTCATCACTATTTATTTGGGGTTTTCCCTTTTAAATTCAGCGACTCAAACCTATTCATAACTTCTATGACATACATAGGTGAGATGGTCACATTAATTTTTGGGGAGACATTACCTTTTCACTTTGCACAGTTTGAGGTTCAGTTTAGCCATTAATAGCTGATGGTCTGAATTACAATCAGGAAGTATCTTAACAACCAAACCTTTTCAGCATTGTTGTCATAAAATGAAGTCTTATCTCACTGTAGATGTCCATTTGGTGCTGTCCATGTGTATAAACATTGCTTGTGTTGAATAAACCACATGTTCATGGAGTTAAGATAAAATCATTTTCCTGGCAATTTGCATTAGGCAATCACCAGCTTTATTCAATTCATCAACCAAAACTTGCCTACTATTCTTGCAATTCCTTCGTGACCTATCTTTGCATTTAAATCACCCATAATATAAAAAATTCTCTTTTTTTGTATTTTCCCGAGAGTACTTTGAAGCTCACTTTAGAAAATCTGAATTTTATCATCATTTGAGTCTCCAGTTGGGGCATAGATTTGTAGTATAGTGATGTTGAGTGGCTTGCCCCTAATTTGGATAAATATTATGCAATCACTGTATGCTCTGTGATTCTCAAAACATTTAGCCATTTGTTTGCTTATGGAGAATGCAACTCCTTTTCATCTTATATTATTTCAAGAAAAATAAACCATAAACTATGTGATTTGAATTGACCACTAACTGCCCAGAGTAACTCTCTGATGTCAAGGATTTATAGGTTAACACTAATCATTTCTCTTTTTACAATTTTGAATTTCCCAAAGGACATGCCTCTAGCATTCCATGTTCCAATTTGATATAACTTTGTAGAGTGTAGGTGACCTCTTTCATCATGGGCACCATCAATTGTTGGGTTTCATGAAGGCTTTCTTCCAACAACATTATAAAGACCCTGACTACTGAAAGCTCGTCCATGCTTTTCTGCAGTAATCCGCTGTTGGTATCCATATATGAGACATATTTTGAGTTATTGCCATAAAGTGTTCTGATGATATTTTTTACAGGGTATTCACCATTGATTTTTGTAACCCTCCCCATTTATCTAGGCTTGAGACCACTATAGATTAATCAACCAGATGGCTGGATTATATAAACATAGCAAGTGTAAATATAAGCATGGGCCAAAAACAGTACTTTCTGGTCTTTCAAATTTGTACTTCTCTGTCTTTTCCCTTCTCTGCTTTATATTCAATAGGAGATTCCCAATTATTGACAAAAAGTCTGATGTAGAAACAATATTTTTCACAGTTTTAAAATGTGTTTAAACTATATGGAAAAAGGCTCAGGGATGTCCTCAGGCTTCTTGTTTATTCTGTTTCCAAGCAAAGATATCACCGTGACTACTATGGATTTTAAGCATTTAAGCATTTTAAGCATTTTATTAAGATTTATAGGCCGCCCTTTTCCCTGAGGGGACTCAGGGCGGCTTACAATCACAAGGGAGGGGGGTGCAGTATCAAAAGACAAAACAAAATGTGAACAAAGGAAAAATAATAAAAACACAACTTTCGTTCAGCAATCAACACTCGGGCGGGTAAATTGGAAACCTATCCCCAGGCCTGCTGGGAGAGCCAGATCTTGAGGGCTGCGCGGAAGGTCTGGATGGTGGTGAGGGTACGGATCTCGACGGGGAGATCGTTCCACAGGGTCGGAGCTGCAACAGAAAAGGCCCTCCTCCGTGTAGTCGCCAGTCGACATTGACTGGCGGATGGGATTCGGAGGAGGCCCAGTCTGTGCGATCTAATTGGTCGAAGGGAGGTAATCGGCAGAAGGCGGTCTCTCAAGTACCCAGATCCACTACCATGGAGTGCTTTAAAGGTGGTCATCAGTACCCTGAAGCGCACCCGGAGACTGACAGGTAGCCAGTGCAGCTCGCGGAGGACGGGTGTAACGTGGGCGAACCGCGGTGCGCCCACTATCACTCGCGCGGCTGCATTCTGGACTAACTGCAGCCGCCGGATGCACTTCAAGGGCAACCCCATGTAGAGCCCATTGCAGTATTCTAGCCTAGAGATCACAAGGGCTCGAGTGACTGTTGCGAGAGCCTCCCGGTTTAGGTAGGGCCGCAACTGGCGGACCAGGCGAACCTGGGCAAATGCCCCCCTGGTCACAGCTGACAACTGGTGGTCAAAAGTCAGCTGTGGGTCCAGGAGGACTCCTAAGTTGCGGACCCTATCTGGAGAGAATCTTCCAAAGCAAATAAAAGCAAAAATGTGGCACTCAAATGTAGATTGTATCAGTATTTATAGGACTAACTTAACTTAAATATATACAACTAATTGCAATTACAAGTTATTTATAAAAGAATTAACTGGTAAAATTCAGACTTTTTCTACTCCAATATAATCACTTTCAGGATTCTCAAAATAAGCGTTCAGGCAGGTCTATCACACTCTTTACACGCAAATGGAAGGAGAAAGTGCCGTGGCCACATCTCACCAAAGAAGATTTCAAGGTAGGACACCTTTAATCTTCCCTGGTTAATTAGGGAACCAATATATGTAGTCCTTGTTTAGCAATCACAATTGGGCTTGACAGCACTGTTATTAAGGCAGTAAGGCAAACCATAATGCTACTTATGATCTTACTTCAGTTTTCCTTTGCCTTACAGACCTGAAAAAGTTGTAAATACGAGGACTGGTTGCAAAGTTACTTCTTCATCACTATGAAAGGTCACAAAAGTGGGAAGTTGCTAAACAAGGATTACTTATATTACCAGATCTCAGTATTAAATGGGGATATCAGTAAGACCAAGTCCTACTTACTTAACAATTTCCATAGAAAACTTGGCTTTTTGATTTTTAGTCAAAGAGTTAATATGATAGTGGAGATTTTATACCAGTTGAAAGGAGCTGATTTGGTAAAATATATTCTTATTTAATATCATTTCTTTTCCTGCTTGGTTGAAAAGATGAAAAAATTAGAATGCCATTGCTTTATTTAACATTTGGTTTTTAAATGCTTACTTTAGTAACGTAATAAGAGCAAAGATGGAACATGCTGTAAACAATTGTTCATTTTATTTGCAGCCAGCATGGCTCTCAGTGGACTTTGATAACTGGAGAGACTGGGAAGGAGATGAAGAGGTGGAAGCAGCCATGGTCGAACAATATGCAGAGGTGAGCACAATTATCAGATCAAAGCAGAATTCTGAAACTTACCTGACTCACTGAATCAGCAAAACTGAAGTCTGAGAAAGCAGAAAGTGGCCATTCTGTATCCCAATTACAGTGCTAACTAATAGTGACAGTAGGGATTTTGACGCTTTTACATTTATACAGAATGCAATGGTTCTATTTGGCAGTGCCACCAGTAATAGCAAGAAAAACCCCATTTATCAAAACAGGTGTCGAGGTTCCGACTAAGAAGACCAAGAAAACCAGAACTCCAAGGCGGGAATCTTCCTTAAAGTACTTATTGGGTACATCATGTTAGCACATTTAAATGCAAAACCAACTCTAAATATTCCCTGGGGTCCCAGTATAATTAAAATAGAAAATGATTCCCTCCCCAAGTGTAACTGGTCACATTGTCCAATTAAGTTACTTGGCAGGGTCCTTAGGCACTCCCCTTTCTTCATCCGACACCTGCAGGGATGACCTTGGTTTCCATGAAAAGATCGGTGTTGCATCTGGTAATGAATTCCAACCTCCTCTCCCCACCTCCATCCCCATCCCCATACAGCGTGGCAACTGAGAATAGTGAAAATGGCATCAGTCTGATTCAGTTCGCAATTGACAGCAGGATTGTGCTGCTATTATTACATATGCCATAAATTCTTGTATTATTTATGCACCATTTATACATGAAGATATTGAATATTGTAAATTTATGCTCACATTAAGATAAAAGGTTTTTTTTTTTTAAAAGGCTCTAATAAGAGAGAAAATAATATTGACCTTTCCCTACTTTTGAGATTTCAAAAATGGTTCTCTACATGCTAACCTGCCCTCTTTTTACAGAGCATAATAGAATAACATAAATCTAGTTAGCCGGATTCAATACTATTACTCATTGGCTAACATGAATAATAGTATATATTTTACTAACTTTTTCATGCAAATAACTGTTAATTATTTAGTTATACACTTTGAGTAGGAATATACTCCATGTTTCTCAATATTAAATAGCAGCACTTTTTGCTTTAATCCCCTTATTCTCCTACAGCTCATGCAAAAAGTTACTAAGAAAGATTCACCCCCAGCCATGGATGATCTTGATGTAAGTATGTAGGGAAAAGCATCTTTAACTATTTCCGAAGTTCTGCTTGCTTGACTCTGTACTATCAGTCTGTTAGATTTATCAATTAACATGGCTGGAGAGCTGGGATGGAATATGGCTTGTACTTCACTAGTATTTCAAACCACTGTGCCAGAACTTGCAGAAGTTGATTTATATATTTTAAAAGTATTTCATTTCATAAATTTGGGTTATGTTCCTCTCTCAATGAAAATAATAATGTTTCTCTGTATGCGCTTAATAATTTTAGGATGACAGCTGAAATGGCACATCTCTCTGACTGGACTGCTACCTTAATTTACTACTGCTATAGTCAGCAGTGACATGGGACTAGGCCACATACTGGCTAAGGCCTAGAACACGGAAGCAGATGTGATCTGGCAAAGTGTTTCAAATGTATTTATTTTCAATGAGTATTAAATTATTTTACTGTAATTTTTCTGGATAACTTTAATAAACAATTCTTTGGCCCAATACCTAGCAGAGTTGTTGTAATCTATTCCCTTTTAAGTGTAGCCGTCTTTGTAATCTGGATAATTACAAAGAAACACTTCAAAAAAATTTGTGAAAGAAAATGATCATTCAATAAGCAAAAACAAGCTTCAGTTTTAGCATATTTTACTTTCAAGGAGACATTTATACCTGTGTGTTGTCCCTTCTATTTCACTGAGTGGCCATCCTTACTTGATTTTTGAAGTTCAGTGATGATTGGCAACCATATGAAAATACTAAGCTGTTAAATAAACTGAACAACAACAACTATAACAACAGCAACAGCAGTATTTTAGTGAAGAACAACAATAACATTTTAGGGAACCATTTTCCTATCAGAAAATTATATGGGTGTAGCAGTTATAATTTGTGTTAGCTTAATTGGAGAGCATATTTATCTTTCCTTTAGTATGCTTCTTGGTGACAATCCTAAAGCTTTTGTGATTTTGTAGCAAAATTCTTATGCTAGGATTATCAGATCTAGTCTACAAATATAGAGGCCAGCAAGGACAACTCTCTCACCTTAAAATGGGAACTAAAATGGTGATCCAATCCTCAACTATAGTTTCCCCATGCTTCTAATTCTTTCTCTATGTCACAGGTGTCAAACTGTTGCTGTGGGCTGGATGCGTCATGTGCAGGCCAGACCCACTCCAACTCTGCAAAGGCAAAAAATGTCACGATACGTCACAATATACCACGTAATGCGATCGAGTTTGTCACCTATTGCCTATACAAAGGTTTTTCAACTTCAGCAATTTTAGGATGGACTACTATTTCCAGAATTCCCCAGCCACCATTCTCTGAGTAGAAGTCAACACATCTTAATACTGGATACTGATAAACATTGGTCTATACAAATTTATTCAATTTATAGGTCACCTATCTCTCCTGATTACAATATTAAGCTGAATGCTATAGGAACCATAAACTATTGGTCTAATAGATCTGGGCTGTAAAAAATCTAGATCATTTGAGACAACAAATATATTGATAAAACTCTATTCTTTGCTTAATAGTCATTCTGATTTCCCCAGCCCCAGGTCTATACATTATATTACCTTGCCAAATAAGTGTAGTCAATTGTTAGTTGTTCTATTAGCAATATCTTTTTATATTATATATGAAATCAGTCTCTTATAACATCCTCAACTTTCCCAATCTAAAAGTACTGTTTAATCCCAAGGTTAGAAGTTTGTGAAGCGAGATTTCTTATGGGTTCACAAGAATGAAAGAGCAATCAATAAATCATGGGTTGTTACTGCTGTTTTTGTCTAGGCTGTAACACTTTACATTAATGAGTTTAAATTATGTATATTTTATGTTGAAAGCCACTCAGAGTTTTTGGAGTGGGCAACCAAAATAACTATGTTAGTAGTGGGTTCCAGATCCCGTTCCAACCAGTACGGTTGGAACGGGCCCAGCGTTGCCCACACAGACGTGTACGGTGCGCGGGCAGCAAACATATGTATCGTACCTGCTTGTGATGCCTCCATAAGTCTCCATGACGCTCCAGCTGCTCAGTGGAGCGTTGCACAGGCACCATACATGTTGTGCGCGGAAGCGCCGAAGGCTTAAAAGGACAGGTAAGGAGCTTGGGTGGATGAGTGGGCCCTCTGGAGCACCGTACCAGAACTGTATCCAGTGCTCCAGGCAGGCTCCGATACACCCATACCAGAGTGTACTGCTGCAACCAACCACTGCTATAACTAAACAACAATAATAGATGTGACAGAGAAATCAACATAGGAAGCACTAAGGAATTTGACAAAGTAGACTACAATCTACCTCTTGGTAATCTAGGAAAATGTGGGATAGACAACATCACTATTAGACGGATTCGTAATTGGCTGACAAACCACACTCAACGTGTAATTCTTAATGAAACTACATCCACATGGAGGGAAGTAAGCAGTGGGCTATCCCAAAGTTCTGTTTTAGGCCCAAAACTCTTAAGCATCTTTATAAAAGATTTAGATGAGGGAATAGAAATTTGCAGCCAACATCAAGCTGGCAGGAATAGCCAACACCCCAGAAGATAGACCCACGATCCAAAAGAATCTCGACAGAGTTGCACATTGGGTCCTATAATTCAATGGTGAGAAAAGCAAGGTTATACAACTAGCCAAGAAAAAACAAAGGTATACATCATAGGTAAAATCCAGCAGGTTCTGATAGGTTCTGGAGAACCAGTAGTGGAAATTTTGAGTAGTTCAGAGAACCAGCAAATACCACCTCTGGCTGGCTCTAGAGTGGAGTGGGAATAGAGATTTTGCAGTATCCTTCTCCTGGAGTGGGGTGAGAATGGAGATTTTGCAGTATTCTTCCCCTGCCACCCCACCAACCCACACCCACAGAACCAATCATATATTTTTTTAAATTTCACCACTGTTATAAGTATAGAATAGGTATAACCTGGTTCAATAGCTGTAACTGCAAGTAGGACCTTGGATTCCTAGTGAAAACTCATTTAAATTGAGCCAGTAGTGTGCTGCGGCCATCAAAAAGCCAGTGTAGTCCTAGGTTGCATAAACAGAGGAATAGAATTAAGATTATGTGAAGTGTTAGTATCCCTTTATAATGCCTAGGTAAGACCACACTTGGATTCAATTTTGGTCATCACAATATAAAAATGATGTTAAGAAAGAGTGCAGGGAGATTAACAAAGATGATTGTGGATTGGAGGCTAAAATATATGAACAGTTGCAAGAATTGGGTATGTCTAGCAGGGACGTGCAGTCAGGGAAGGCAGGGGAGGCAGAGCCTCACCACTGTCATCATGAAAAGAAAAAAAATGTAGAAGGAAAAAGGCAAGAGTCAGGCTGACTAGTTGCTGCCAGAGTCACAGTGGATGACTCTGCTTAGTGCTTAACTGTTTAAAAAAGCCTCTAAAAATGCTCTCTACAGGAGGAGGCAGGAGAACCACGTGCCTCATCTAGTCTGACTTTATGATCACTCGAGCAGAGTTAAGCAAGGGTTGAAAGCCAAAAAATTCCTGACGTAGATGAGGCACATCCTCCTCCTGCCTCCTCCTGTAGAGGGCGTTTTTTTAGAGGCTTTTTTATTTAAGCAGACTCTGGTAGCAACTAGCCCAGCCTGACCTCAGCTCTTGCCTTTTTCCTTTTACATTTTTTTTTCTTTTCATGATGGCAGGCAAGAGCAGAGTTGAACTCCTCTGTGAAACAGCTGGAAAAGGTATGTGTACGTATACGTGTGGGTCGGAGGGAGGGGGAGGAATTCAAACTTAATCCTCTTGGTGCAACTTTGTGTGTGTGTGTGTGTGTGTGTGTGTGTGTGTGTTTGAGAGAGAGAGAGATTGTTTAAGTGAAGAGAGGGAAGTGGTAGGAGAGTCAGGGAGGGCAGCCCGCCAGCCCAAGTGGGCGAAAGAAGTGTTGGGGGAGAGGACTGCCTCACCAGCCATAAACCTCACCGCATGTCACTGGGGGGATATGATAGCAGTGTCCCAATATTTGAGGGGCTGCCACAAGGGGGGAGGCGGTCAAATTATTTTCTAAAACACCAGAAGGCAAAACAAGAAGCAATGGTTGGAAACTAACCAAAAAGAGAAGCAACCTAGAATTAAGAAAGTTCCTGACAGTGAGAACAATCAATCGTCTTGGTTTCAGAAGTTGCACGCGCTTGACTGGAAGTTTTTAAAAGAGACTATACAGCCCTTTGTCTGAAATGGTATAGAATCTCCTGCTTCAGCAGGGGGTGAATAGAAGACCTCCAGGGTCCCTTTAGACTGTTAGTTTGCAGCAAAGATGTTTCATTCCACATTTTTCCCGCAAGAAGAGGAAATAGCCCCGCGAACATTTTTCACTGAGCTCGACCTGCCACCCCGATCCCATCCCGGCTTCTCGGTCATTAAATTTAATACTTAGGTCACGAAAACACAAACAGCTCATTGGCCAACGTTGACCCCGCCCTCCCTACATAGCAAACGTTGAAAAACGTTACTAATTATGTCCCTCGCTGCCTACCTTAGGCCGCCAGTCGCGCATGTCCGTTGTCTGCGTGAGTGAGAGAGTGCAAAAAAGGCGCCGGTCGTTCGTGTACCCTGGTTGGCTGGCTTCAGTGGCTGCATGGCGTTTATGTGCCAGCGGGACAGCTGGGTTCAGCAGGTGCGGAAGGAGGCGACCGAGTGGGCGATGGCTCTGAAGTCATGCTCATTGCCGCTATTCGGGGCGAATAAATGTTTGCAGTTTTGCTCTTCATTCATTTGTGCTGGAAAAGGATTCTTGTCGCAATCTTTCCAATCTCCAAAACTGGAGATAAGCTGCTTTATTCAGAATTGGAAAGATTACTATGCCTACGATCGCACCGCTTTTGCTAGCAGAAATTGAGATGGACAGTTGCAGGGTTTCTCCCATTAGATTTTTCTGTATCCAACAGTTGCGGAATTTTAGAAATCTAGAGGGATTATTGAGCCCAGGACAGCCCATTGTTCTTTTTTCATATTTTTGTTTTAGGAATATAGAGAAATGTTCTATATATAGCAGATAATTCTTGTAGGCATGGTTTCTTCCTCAAGCAGTTGTTGCCATTCCTTATTATAGCTTACTCTAGAACAACTAATGTTTGTATACATGATGTACAATGACAATAAAGACTATACTATAATAGGACAATACAATGTAATGCAGAATATATTCAATTACTTGCATAATACAATATGCTGATATAAAAATCAGTTGCTTATACATTGTATGTCAGTAGGAAAGGAAAGCCAGAAAAGCAAAAAGGAAAAGTGAGGCTTAACTGCCCTTTGCCCAAGAATAACTTGTCTATGAGCAGAGTTATGACTCACTGTAATTATAGGAAAGTACCTCAAGAGGCCACATCTATAGTATTTGGCCTCATTTTAAGACATTTCTAATCTCTGAAGCATTTTTGAAGGCAACTGGAAGTGAAATTGGACATTTAAAGAAATATGTATAATAAAATGGATCTACTGTGGGTTATGAAATTGGTATACATGCTA